TCCTCTCACTTCCATCTCCCCATCCCTCAATTTTGAAAGGAAAAAAGCACCAAAGCTTACTTTAGAAAAATCCTGAACATTTAAGGTCAATCTATACTTGATTAGTTTTTTTTTCTTGTACATATAACCTGAACAAGTATTTTTAGGCACAGCATATCAAATTTTAGAAATTGTAGAAACTACAAAGAAACAACTTATTTTTACAAAATTCAGGAAACAGACACATGTATTGAACACAGTCATGCTACATACGGTCTAGGTTCATATAAAGATTGAATTATAGTAGCTATGAACTTCTTGGCCAAGAAGTTATTAGCTTTTCCCTTTTTCCCCCTGTCTTGCTGAACTGATTTTTGCTTTGGGTTAATTAGGGTATTATAACTTGACATTTATTTGTCAGGAAACTCTCTCCAATTCGTCCTTAGGGAAACCTTTAGTATAGATTGTAATTAAAAGGAAGCATAGAAGAAGTGGGTGTTAAGAGGGATTTGAAAGAGGAGTTTATAGGCTTTGAAGACCAGAAAGGAGAAAATTTCAAGTACCAGAATAAGCATGGATGAATATGCAGAGAAGTAAGAGAAAATCATTGGAGACATTCAAATGGAGCCTGGCTGGATACTTGCTAGAGGTGCTGTAGAGGGATCCCAGGATTGAGAGATGAAAGAAACCTCCGAGACCATCTGGTACAACTCCCTTAGTATATATGGATGAGGAAACTGAGGTTAAAAAAAAAAAGGTAAAATGACTTGTTGAAGACCACATATCTAGTAACATAACTGGGATTCAAAACCCACCAGGTGACATACACCAAGCATGGGTTGGAAAAGATCACACTGAATTCCCCTCAAAATTCTGATATTTATAAAATTTTCATATAGGATATGATATGCCAATGAACTCAATTATTATTGTCATTATTACTACTGATTATGAAAACAGAAAAAATCTGTTATCTGTAAAATGAGGAGAATGTACTAATTTTTATGAACCCTTTAAAAATTAAAATATTCTATGTTCCTTTTATCTGATTCATAATGATTCAAGGATACTCAAAAGGGTAGTATTCTTTGAGGAGAAAATAAATTAATAATAATCTTAATGACCTGATAGGATAAATAAGAAAAAGTAAATAAACACAAAGCAACAATTTTAAATATTTCATATGTGTTGATATAAAAAAATTTTATCAATTCAATTAGCATTTTATTAAGTGACTATTATGTGCTAGGCATTGGGGATACTGACAAAAACGAAGCTGTTTCTATACTCAAGTAGTTTACATACTATTGGGGGTAAATAATTTATGCATAGACGACTAAATATAAAATACGTAAAATCCATTTTCCAGAGAAGAGCACAGACCTATAAAGTACAACTTCCTGACAACAGAACCAGTCTTCAGAGGGCACAAAGAAAGGTACGGTAGAATGGGACAGAGATATGCAGGGGGGCTCAGAGCAGGGCATCTAAAGGAGGGAAGAGGGGTGACAAGGCAAAGCAGCTGCTGCCAGAGGAACAGACACTTGAACAAAAGGATCTGAACAGAGCAGCAGTTTCATACACCCTTCAGAGCAGCAATGGTAAAGGGGGTTTAATAACCCCTGAGCTAAAGGTAGATGAAAGAGTAACTTTAGCTGTTTCACAACAAAGAGGAGATATGTTTTTACTAAGGCTATTTATATTAAATACACAGACACAAAAAAATATAAATGTAGTTATAAAATAGATAACTACAGTAAACTTCAGGTAAAATTAACCAGAAATAACCATAATACTGTTCTCAAAGATCTTACAAGAGAAAAAAATGGTGGTCTCCCAAGGAGGCGACTCTATTGAAGAGCTTTTTTTGGTGGGGAAAGTAAGCTAGGATAAGGCCTTATTTTATTTAATTGAGAACGTATGAAACTCTAGAAATGATTTCTTAACTTGTGTTACTTTGTTAGGCTATTTTCAATATGAAGTAAAATACTTTTTCATTCAATTATTACTTTATAAAAGTATGGCTTGTGAATGCATAATAACAAATCTTTTACTTTGGCTATAAAACTGACAGTATTTTGATACTAAATCGCGTTCCCCATTTTATTAAATACATTATGTTTTCTGCTGAATCATCCACTTGTTTAGTCAGAGGTCTTGGGACTAGTCATTATAGAGAAGACAGAATGCCATATTTTCTTTAAAGTTAAAAAAAGAAGAGATCCAAGCACTCATGGAGTTAGCCACAGAAAAGGCTATACTAAAGAGCATTCACTATACTTCCATGGACCCTCAAACTCTCTCCATTTTCCCTGCATACACTCAGTCACAAATAGACTAATAACAATCCTACGGATTTTTCTTTTGATAATCACTTTTTAACTGCTTTGGTGTTTATCTTTTTCAGTTTCCACAGGCCCTTTTTAATAAATGGCAAGTTTTCCTCATGAATGGTTATAATTCAGCTTGAAAAAAAATGGTAGGTTTCTGCTCATTGCGGGGTGGCATGGGGTTTATTGGAAGAAGGAAAAAAAAAAAGAATGATTTCACTCAGACTCATTGCTAATGCTACCTTAGTCTTCAACTAATTACAAATGGAACAACTCAATAGCCAGATAGATATTCCACTGCAAAAGAATCATAGAGGGTATGCTGTGGTAAGGTTTTAAAAATATATAAACACTTCGAAATCTAAAGTTGGAAGCTCCTACAAAAACATTTTGAAAATAAACAAACATACTAGTAAGGTGATGATACTTCAATTGAACAGGAAGTCCATATTAAAATGCGATGCACATTTCTGTTCAAAAAAGGAAATTTATGAAGACGAAATAGATGCTTTCTATAAAATATTTACATATACAATGCACAAAATCCACTATGGTTAGTAACCTTTATGACTTTGAAGAGCCATATATTTACATATCTTTCTCTTTGCATGTGCATGTGCGTATGTGTGTGTTTTGTATATATTTTTAACAGTTGACAGCTGTTTTAGAGCATACAGAGAAGCCAAGCTGAATGAGGGTCTTGATTACTTCAAGATTAGCTATCTAAAGTTTCTATTCATTTTAAGTGTTGTTAGTGCGAAGAGTCATTAGTCACTTCCTTGTCTCATAGAACATCAGCATACATTTACATTGTTAATGAACATTTGGGGTAAATGAATTAATGGCACTTTTAAACATCAATTCAGTCCTAATAACTCTGTATGTCAGAGAAATGTTAGGATAGGATATAAACGAAAAGCCTTTTCAGTCAAGGTAACTAAGCATTCCTGCAAACAATAACAGGTAAAATTAATTTAAAATGTTTTTGTAACAGGGTTTAAAAATCTGTATTTTCAGACAAATAGCTAGGATCGAAATTTATTCTTAACCCTTATCCAAAAAAAACTGTGATAATATGCATCTCAACCAGAAACAAAGTCATAAATTGGAGTGACAAGACCTTATGTTGATCACAAGAGTCATACTTATTTTCAGAGTTAATTAGCTGAAGATCACTTAGTTTTGAGAAACTATTTCTTATATCATATTTCCTTTCATTTCATTAAAGAAAATTCCTTTAAAAGTATGGCATATGTTTGCAACCCAAATTTTAAGATATTGCACTATATTTTAATTATCTCATACAGAAAACCTGAAAGGCAATGAGGCATAGTGGATAAAACACCTAAGAGCCAGCAAGACTGGCATTCAAACCCTGCCTCTTTCTATGTAGCATTTCTATGACCATGGACAACTGAATTAAGCTCCAGGGTCCCAGGCGACTCTTTAAGAGTAGGAGTTACATAAGAGCTTTTTGCCAGCCAAGAATTTCCAAACCATGAATTCTCTATACAGATGAAATCATAGATCCAAACTGCCTCACTTTAAATAAAAACAAAATTCTAAGGAAGCAGCTAAACATTGATAGCTATTTTGTAAAATCCTTAATGCATCAAAAATATAATGATTAGGACATCTGGTAGTATTAAAATATCATTTTCAATAGCAATACTTTCAATACTGTATCAAAAAAACAAACTGAGAATAAAATTTACTCCATTTCCATAGAAATGTATTTCTCAAATCACTTAAATTAACTATAACCCAACGTACTAGGGAGATAAATGAACAGGATGTTTAAATTGCAGAATGTAATAAAGACACATTTAAAGAACAATTTGGGTTAAGTGGACAAGAAATAGACAAAAGTTATTTTGACCAATTTAAAAATATTTTTATCACACAATCCTGGTGAATGTAGTAAATGGAATATTACTGGTATCTATGTAGCAGACCAGTCCCTACGGTCACTGTGAATCTCTAAGAATCTGATGTATACTTTCTTAGAAAGGATAAAATTTCTAAGCAGCTTAAGTTTATTATTTACTTCCTATTAATAAACTATGCTATAATTGCTAATAAATTATTAGAAAGGGAATGTAATATAGAAAAGGATTTAAAGGTGGTTCTCTCAATAATGATGGGGTATTCTCACCACAAATTAGTTTAATAGGGGAAAAAATAGAATTCCATTATAAAAGGTTTGATTCTACTACTGTTCACTTAAAAGCATAACTGAATCTTAAGAGTTACAAAGAAAACTAGAAGCAAATGAGCTTTTATCCTTGCATAACCTAAGCTTAGGGGGAAAAAATCATACATGCAAAACCAGAAAAAAAAGGTTGATTTATTTTAGAAAAACCAACTCCTAAAGCAGCTAAAAGAGCTTGGACACAGCCCACTTTGCATTTCTACATTCTTCTGCTAAAGTCACTGTTTGGTTTATGATTTAAAAAGGATGACAGCGCATTAAACATTTGGCTAATGTTTCTGTATATAATTGAAAGTTGACTTTTTGTGGTTTTCATTAGTGTCACAGTGTACTATGAACATTCTGTGAAATGTTCTTAAAGTTGCCCTGCTCAGCCTCATTGGGAGAATTACACAAATTATGACAGGCTTCACGATCATCAGACTCTCATCTAAGGCTTTCCAAGGATAAGGGGGAAAGCAAAGGAATACAAAACTTACCTTCAGATTTCAAGTAACCCAGCAAAGGGTCAATGCCGACTTCTTGTTCTTCAGCCTGCAAGGGGTGATGAGTTTCAGAGAAGGAATGAAACATAGCTAGCAAAGGCAACTATCACCAAAAGCGATGGATATCTGGAGGGAAAACAAACACATAGAACTGGTTACTATTATTTCTTAAATGATAATCTGAAACTGTGTGAAAGAAGCAAAAAAAAATCATAAAATGGTAGCATTTGGGGCCAAAGGGGAGCTTAGATATCATTCAGTACAACCCACTAATTTTACAGAGGAGAAAACCAAGGCCCAAGGAAGTGGATGGATATATTCAAAGTCATATAAGCAGTAAAATAACAGGGTGGAATGTGAAACCATGACTATGAGGCTACCCTTATACTCAATCAACTCCAATGATTCCTTTTTACCTCTGGGACAAAATTTAAATTCCTCTCTTTGGCACTTAAAAACTCTTCACAGGCTGGCCCCATCTCCTTTCTAATAGTATTACCCGTTATTCCCCTCCACAGAGTCTACACCAAATTGGCACTTGGGGTGCTCCTCACACATGAACCTCTGAGCCCCATCTACATTATTAGCACTGGCTGCTGCCACTCCACCCCCTAAAAACACTCTTTCCTAGAGCTCATGGTTTCTTTTAAGATATAGCATTTAAGTGCAACATTCTGAAGGTCACTGTTCCTGGTCCCCTCAGAGACTGGTATCTTTCCCACAAGGTCACTTTGCATCAGCATTACCTGTGACGTGTACAGATGTATATGAAAATGTATATACATATATATATATATATATATATATATATACATATATATGTATATATATATGTATATATACATATACACACACATACATATATATATATACAGGTATAGATACATGTATATGATACACACATGTTGTCTGCTACATTAGAATGGAAGCTCTTTGAAGGCAGGAACAGTTTCATTTTGCTATTGTTTCCTAGTGCCCACCTCACATAGTAGGTGCTTTTTAAATGAATAGTTAATCCAATTTATAGCATAAGAACCAATCCTTCAACAGGGTCAAGAAATGTTGACGGGTCTATAAGTTCATGAGAAAGTGGAATCAATTATTGTGCTCAACCAAAATATAAATTTCAATAGTTTTCCATAAGTTAGCTTTATGAAAGTAATTTCATTAAAACCAATTTTTCTACCAATCAGGATTTTCATCTCCCCACATTTGGTCAAAAAAAAGAATTGAAAATAGAGTTGAATCACTCTGTCTTCTAGTATTTCAGAGATCTTAAACATTTCTAGAACCTTTATATTTTGTTTATTAAAGTAAATCAGATACTATTTTCTTAATTAAAAATATACCACAAAATTAAATCTGTTATCCCATTTTTTGTTCAAAAGGATGTGACCTTTACTTACACATGAGAACAGTAAGATTATTATATTAGAAAAAAATTTTTATTCACTTCTTTCTGGGCTGGGCCTTCAAGCAGGCTTATGCCAAACTGGGGGACTGAATTTGTTCAACTGCAGTTGGTAAATAATTACAAAGGTATTTTCTCACAGTACTTGAAGACTGACAGATCACTAGGCAGAAGCCTTACACACAGTAGCTACTTCCTAAATGTCTAGTGAATTGCCTTAAATGAAGAGAACTGATCACCACAAGCATCAGTTACAAACTCTGCACATTAGGGTAGATTCAGCAATGGTAGAACTGGTCAACGGTGGGCACACCGAAGGCAGGGTAAGGTCACAAATGAACAGATTTAGGTAAATTTATTTCAGGATTATCAATTGATGTAATCCTATGTCAACTAAATGACTAAAAATTAGTTTACTGTTCGCGTTTTCAAAGGGTAATTTCCACAATGTTCTACCCTTTCCAAAGTTGTCAATTTCTCTCATTACGTGACAAAAAATTAGATTTAAATAGGTACTAGTATGTCTTCAACACCTAAAAATGTCCTATGACCTTTTTTTTTTTTAAATTAAAGAAGGTGGATATAACCCACACATCTGGATATTCCATATGCAGAAGAAGTAGCAACAGGCAGTGGAGATGTTGGTCAGATAACAGAAATATAACAGAAACCACAAGTCTTAAGGGTTTCTTGTTTCTTTACTTGATTTCTTTGAACAATTGTTTTTCATACTATGGAAAACAATCTGACCATTTGTTATGACTTCGTTATTTGCCAGTTTGAGTGAAAAGCTGCCACCTCGTCTCCTGGCGGAGCACAAAGTGTTCTGCGGTTTGGGTTTCAGTTCTAGTTATGCCCAACTTAGCTGCATGACCTTAGGCAAGTGGCATCGCCTCTCTGGGTCTCAGTTTAAACAATCTCTCAGGTTCTTTTCCCTCTCAGAGACTTTATGCTTTATGATCTTTAAAAATTACTTCCCTAAGTATACTTAACATACGTTTAAAAAGAATTCAGAAAGTCCAAGTAACCAAATTTGTGTATGTGTGCTGTTTGGCTAAGATAAACAAATGACAAGTAAATAAGCTAACATCTGAGATTTGTTCAAAGAAGTAAGAAAAATTTCTAACGTACAATAAAATCAGTACATATTTTTTTATTCTACATTGAAAATACCGTACAATGAAAACTGATATGATGACAACACAAAAGACTGCAAGATACTGAATTTCTTCCCAAATTATTAATGAAAGATCATAATCCGTATAGTTTTGCTGCCAAGTATCTTTCACTTTATTCTAGTGGTATGAAAATTGGTATCCCCAAATTTAAATGACAGATGTGAATCGAATGACATATCTTAGTTAACCAGAATATTAAATTAACTAAACATACCATTCTACAATAAAAATCAGTTTCTTAGTCTTTGATTACGTCTGCAGGTATAAAATGATTAAGCTATATACCTTTCAACTCCAATATTTCTTGGGGGTGGGGATCTAATCTTGATTTTTTTATAAGATTTTACAGTTACAAATTAGTTTAGATTATTTAATATCAATCAATCAAGAAATATTTATTAACTTCTGTCTGGAATGATGTGCTATGCTGACCACTTCCCAGAATTCTCCTCACAATGCCATCTACTCTTAGGGTCATCAACTCCATTCTCCTCCCATCAAAACCTGGATTCCTCCCACGGTTCACAAGATAGGTGAGCTTTGGCTTTCTTCTGCCCTCACCAGGCCATCTAGACCATTTTCTGGGATCTCTTCTCCATGCTTCCTGTTAAGTACTATCTTACCCCATTGCTTGGATTTGCATCCACAGCACTTAGCACAGCCACACTAAATTGTCTATGTAGCTATCTATCTATGTACTGATACACAGATAAAAAAAAGAAAATGCCTCCTCCCTCAAGTAGATTACATCATTATATCAAATCTAGGGAGGTAGCACAAATATTATTGTTCCTACTTTGCAGCTAATCAAAGAGATTAAATGATTTCTTCTACTTCAAGTACCAAGTAAATGGAAAATCTTGTGGGGCTGGATTGATTGTTTGTTTTAAGGTAGAATGAGGTAAACTAGTAAACAGTTATTTTCAAAACGTTTTTTGAACTGACCTGAATCTTTTTCTCCTGGTCAGTTTACAGCCACAAGCTTTTGTCTACTAAGCTTTTAGACTGGATAATAGATGTAAAAAGCTTCATGGTTCATGGGTATTATTTCAGAAAGTTTAACACGGATAATGAATATTGATATTTATTTTTCTATTGATTTTTAAATAGTGCTATTTTTTCTATTTATAAAACTAGATGCCATGTGATTAGCTTCTTAGATCAATAAACAATTTAAAACTTTTTTTTAAAACATCTCAAATTTTTTGATACTTTTCAAATTTACGTTAAAATTTAAGCCAATTACAAAGCAAAATACTGGTCTACTATGACTAACCAAGAGATTATTCTTTCAAAAGCAATCACTTTTATTTAAATATATTTATTATAATCAACATTTTAAAATATTAATGGTCAACAGAAAAATCAACTGTTAAAATGCTTTTATATAAGGTAACTCTTAGCCCAAAAATTATTTCCTGGATCAGCCTTACAGCAAATAAGTATGACCTATGCCTTTAAATCACCTCCCCTCTTATGGCATACTAGAGAAAAAATAAACTTAGGACAAACACTTATCATTTACTAAGTAATTACTCTAACACACTTATTAAAATATTTCTCAAATTAAAATTTGGAGCTTAATGACTGACTGCCAAAGTGGCATTAGAAGTATTAAACATGGGGGCGGAGGAAACCTAATTTTCCTATTTCAGTGAGGGAACGACAATATAAAACTACACCAAGAACAGCTTGCTTTTGAGTCAGGAGACCAGAAGAGGTGAATTCACCTCATCCATCCACAGGTGACTTTCCTTTAAGGTATTACATGCCACCTTGGCTACCAGTGTATAACTTGAAGAAAAAAAGTACCTGCCAGTTTCTTTTAAAATGAAAAACTAACCTTAAGGATGAGATCACATGACAAAAATTAGATCAAATGATTCAGTCAGACGACTTGCAAAATCAGTTCTTTTCCTGTAAGGTTAAAAGTGATCATCCAAAAGAAAGAAATTCAAATGAGAATAACTAATGGACTCTAGGGAAATAGAAAAAGGATAGAAATAGACAGGGTTTTAACACTACAGCTTTATTGAAAGACAATCTGGGGGAAATAAAAAAATAAATTTTCTCATGTTTTCAAAATTAAAAAATTATAAAAATATAACAAAACAGGTAGTTAAAAAAAGTCAAAATGAACAGCTTCACTTCTAAACTTAACAGTTTGTCCCTCTATATACAGGATCAAATAAGATAATATTTGTGAAGCACTTTGAAGCCTTAAAGAGCTTTATAAATGATACCACTTGTTATTATTAATTAAAAAACATTTATTAAGCACCAATTCAAAGACAAAAAAGAAACTTTCCCTTCCCTCAAGGTGTTTATGTTCTTATCAAGATCTAAGCTACATCCATCCACATGGTGTGTCAAACAGGAAGTCTCCTCAGCCAAAAAGGAGGAGGGAGGGAATGAGTAAAGGAAACCAACTGCTGGCATTGCTGACACAAAACAAGTGGTTAATCACCTTAATTTTTCACTTCCCGAATGGCATCATATAGACAAAACCTCTAGAAAAACAATAATTTATTCTCACT